CACAAAAGGGGGGCAAAGGAGTGGTGGCTGAAATGTTTTGGATCTTTTCCTGACTTTCGCAGGGAAGAGGGGGGTGAAATCTCCTCAACCTCAAGCAGCATGGAGTGGCGGTAATGAGGCGGAGAAGAAGGGCCCAGGGTTCAGGATAGAAAAATGGGAGATTGAAAAGCAGAATGTGAGCATTCATAAAGTGTTTGGAGGACCTGTGGGAAGCAACTACACGCCGTCAGACGTTCCAGTCGCTATGGTGTGGAAGATGCAAGCAAACAGGTGGGTGGACTCAAGTGGAGGGAGTGAGTGGGGTGTGAGAGGAAGCACCAGAGCAGGAGCCGGATCGAAGGATCGCGAGCAGGAGGTAAGCCATGGAGCAGCAGACGGTGCGATGGCCGCAGACGGAGCAGCAGCGGGAGGCGAACAGGCCGGCCAGACCGACAAGGAGGTCAGTAGTGGCGTAGAAGGCGCGCATAGTTCCGTGGGCTTTGCCAAGCTGGAGTTCTCAGTGACTGGTGCGGAGTTCAGTCTGGCGATCCGCGGCGGGGAAATCCACGTGTTCTCCCGACATGAGTTGACCTATTTGGGCTTCCTGACAGTTGCGGCGACCAACTTAACTCCCGGGGCAGCATTCTCGCCGAACGGTTGCTGCATAACAACTATCTGGCGGGACTCACGTGACGAGAGCCTTGTCGGATCTCTTCTGAAGATCGCACACGTTCCAGTCCAACTACACGAATCGACTGCGCTAGGCGGAGGAGATGAGTGGGTAGGGGGAGGAGGTAGCGGTGCAGCAAACCCAGGGAGCACTTTGGAGAAAACGATTGGCATGTGGAATCGACACTTGGCGAACAGGTAGAGAAAGATGACGAGCTCCTTCCTCCCTAGCAGGGTTTCTTTTACTCCAAATTGTGTCAGAGAAAACATATCGCCAGCAGCTCCTCAATTAAAAGGACCCATGATCTCACTCATCAGAAATTTGAAATTTCTAAAAAAATTCCATCTTTAGTTTTTCTTTGGTCAGCAATATAGCTCATCTCTTAGCATCGGAGCTCAGCATTACGATCTCCATGAAATCATTGAGATGGCAATTAGATTATTAGAGGCCTAGCATCCAACCTCTACTACGACAATGTACTTTTTTTTTTTCTTCTTCTTTTCCTTTTTTTTTTTTTTTTTTTTTTTTTAATAATTAAAACAGGCCCTTATGGTCCTGGCTCCATTTCCATTCTGGGGAGCATCAGTCCGGTTCCTATACCACTGGCAAGTCAGAATAACAGGATACATCATAAGTACTCACCCACGCTTCCTTCCGTTTGGCCGAAGGACCCCTGACCAGCATTGATTGCTCCAACATCGTGGAGGATTGACTGTCAGCTTGCCCTGCTTCATCCTTTCCTCTCAGGTCTTCTTTTTTTCTTTTCCCTTTTTGAAGTTCTTCTTTTTTAAGAAAATTTTACAAAATATAAAAAAAGAAAAAGAAAGCAAAAAAGAAATGCCAATTCTTTTATGGTCCGGACTCCCGATGAATAAACACGTGATCCCTAATTCCTGCGAATTCTGATTCTGACTTCCTCCGTATCTGAACTTATCTGTTCCAAAAACGGGCATGTCATGGATGCAGCTGCCATTCTGGAACGTTGACCATTTGCGGTGGTCATAAAATTAAAATTAATTAAAAAAAAAAAAGAGAAAGAAAAACAGAAGAAAAAGGAGAGAGAGAGAGAGAGAGAGAGAGAGAGAGAGAGAGAGAGAGAGAGAGGGAGTTCTTAGCAGGCGTAGGTGCCAGTTACTGAATCTCTGTTTCATAATTTGTTCATTTCACTATTTCAAGTTGTTCGCAGAGGAAGGAAAGGACAGATGGGACAACGGCTGAAATTGAAATTGTTGCTTCAGCACCAGCAGCAGCAGGGTGGATTCACAGCTGCTTCAGTTTTGAAACGAGAACGCATATTGAGACCTTGTTAATCCAGACAGACCCTCAGTAGCCAAAACGGTGACATTTTTTGGGCCAGCCCCTCCCACTCCCCATCCGTAAATCCGACTTGTAAAAAAAACAAAAAATGTGAAGAAAAGATATGTTATGCAGCATTGCACGTAGTCAAATCCAAAAGCCGGGGGGGGGGGGGGGGGGTCTCTTGACGACACATTGTTCTTTATGTGATAATTTGATTGTTGATACCTTTGGGTTGTTGTCGGTATTCACGGAGGCATTCTTCGTATGCGTGGAGTCGTCGAGCGATCGGGGGGGATGCAGAGTGGGGAGTGTGACTGGTCTTCGGGATGTGCACAATCTGGGTACATTTTGACCAACTGGTTATATAGCCAGGCAGCTTTGCTGAGGCTTTGTCGGGAGCGAACACCCTTGGTGCCAGCCCTGCCTACTGTAGCCTTGTCCCACAGTGCACCCCTCATCATGACGGATAATCCCCCTCTATCTGCTCCTTCTCCCCCCTAGAGTGCATGGACTCCCTTCATGGAGATGCCTTCACAGAGCGATGCTCCCCTAGGCTGACTGTGGCATACTGTGCAGCCACACGGGCCCTGCAGGGCCCGTCCCTGACCTCCAGCCTGTTTCCCTTCAGGGAAACTTCCAGGCTCTTGCCTGGAAGCTTCCTTCTGACAGGGCCTACAGGCCCCGGCCTGTTTCCCTACAGGGAAATTTCCAGGCTCTTGCCTGGAAGCTTCCTTCTGACAGGGCCTACAGGCCCCAGCCTGTTTCCCTACAGGGAAACTTCCAGGCTCTTGCCTGGAAGCTTCCTTCT